CCGCCCCGGGAGTGCGGCCCCGGCCCGGCTGGGGCGGTGAGGCGGGGGTTAATCGGGCGGGAGGTGCGCTGGTGGCGGTGGGCTGTCGGCGTTAGATGTGAGTATCTTCCAGGTGCCCTTGCCCTAGAAGGGCCCGGAGGTGCAGAGCTGGCTGAGGCTGAACGTTTGTGCCGTACTTCCCGCACCCCCGCCTTCTCACACAAGCTTTTGAATGCCGAAGGTGTTTGGCGCAGTTTTGTGAAGGGACCAGGCAGAATTTAGATGTGCTTGAGGATTGTTGGGTTGAGAATAAGTATTCGGGATGGACGTCTAAAAACGAAGCACAGAGAATTAGCAGACGCTTCATTTGTCTGTATGTAATAAAAACCAAAATGCCCTTTAATGTTTTTATGCCCGTGCTATTCCGTCTAAATGTCCTCGATCGTGAGGAGTCTTTTGTATAATATATACAAACTGCTAAAGAAGCAGTTATTAGTTGCAGTCTCTTAAATGTTAATGACTGAACCACAGACTCTAGAATAATTTATTTCCAGTCTGACACGTAAACGAACTTATAACTGAGAGTGTGGAAAAAGGTGGGGGGCTCTTCTGTAAGCTTTACAATATGTGGTATGGTTTCTCTGGGCTGGAGTCACTCCCAAGTTATTGGAGGTGAGTCAGCTTTGATAGCGTCTCTTTTTTTAGCATAGCTATGTTATACCAGTACCTGAAAATACATCAGCAAACAGTTGACACGTAATGTAGTTGCTTTAGGTGACTGCGTGTAAAGCTACAAGTGGTAAAAGCCTGATTTGTGAATCAACAAAAAGTTGGACGTTTTTGAGATGTGGAGCCTACCTCTTCTGTTGTATTCAGGTGTTGGTGTTTGCTAAGCAGGTGTTGCTTGATTCCTGTTCAAATCAGAACAGGACATTTAGTCTTTTTTATTGTATTTGGTTACACAGATGACATGAACCAGTGATTTTTTTTCAGGGTGAGAGACTAAGTAATTTTTCAGGATTGCAATCAGACATGTTTTTTATGATTTTATAATCTTAGAAGGACTGGTTTAATAATGGTGAAATTTAAGGTGGAGAGGAGGCTTTAAAGCTGTGGAAAAGTATAACCAAATAAACACAAAGTAAATCAAATTTATTTATCGAATATATGACAACTTTAATACCCCAAAACTTACGCAACTTTTTCATGTCAGATTTTTTTTTACTTTTCTCTTTCCTACCATAAGTTATATTTTTGTTTAGCCTTACGTTACTTGTACCTCATACTGAAAAAGCAGACCGTGTGCTGTGAACTCTGATTCACTTCATGAAATGTAAACTCCTTTTGCATACTGTGATTGTCAAGAGCAGTGAGAACAGTTTAACATATTTTGTATCTCCTCTAATTTGTTTTACTAAACCAACAGAAAGATAAGTTAATTCATTATTATTATTGCTGTTAAAAAGGTGTTAAAAATACTGCATTTTCCCTAGCTGTTTAAGATTTCCAGGCACTTTTTTGGATCGGTCTAATTTCCAGTCCTTACCACAACCTTTCTGTAGTTAGACCCTTTGACAGTAGGGTGCATGTGAGCTTTTAGATTGATCTAAAAACCAAAGCCATCCTTCAGATGCATTTGTCGGGCTGAATGCTTAGGCATTATTGTTGGCGTGCAGCCTGGCTGTCGCGTAGGAAGAAGTCCCGTTCCTGCTCTCCCTGACCAAAATAGTAGGTGGTTTATGCTGTTGATACTAAGCTGTCTGAACTGCGTGTGCTCGGAGGGCAAGGATGTAAACACAGAGTTCAGAGGGGGCCTGAGCTGCAAACGGAGCGAGCCCTGCTTCTGGGCTGTCTCTGTAGGGCAGCGCCATGGCTCAGCATCTGTGTACACATGCAGTTTTAGCACAGACTTAGGCAGTGCAAGCGCAGGAGAATTTACTGGCTGTATACCAGCGTCGGCTCTGAGTAAATCTGCATTTACACACCGACATTTAGTTAGAATTTGTCCCTTGGTCTGCTGGGCTTTTGGAGGCAACTTGTTCATAAGTGTACTGTGAAGTGTACTAGGAAGGAAATTAACTCTATCCCTGCCGAAACCAGGACATGTGGTCAAACCTCATGTTAACACTGAAGAATTGCTTTCGAAGCAAGGGCAATCACTGCAGTTTCTTTACTCTTGCATAACTCGAGAGGCTGAATAGGCGGGGTGGGGAGGAGTTGTCACTGAAGGGGTTTGATCAGGCAAATCGCTCATCAGGTGGTTGGGGCTTGCTGGTTTACCTTGTTCAGGGTCTTCTGTGATCCTTAAGCAGAAACATGGGTACACAAAGGATGGGCAGAAGGAGAGTATCTGGATCCTATTCTTTGGTTGCAGTATATATTTCTGTCTGGTCCAAGTTTATGTGGCTTTCCGTAAGTAACGTGCTTTTCCCTCATCCAAGGATTAAGGAACTAAAAATAATTTAAAATGCTTCCATGATTACTTTAGAGATAAACGCATCTGTTGAACTGGTAAGAGGGAGCAGTACGCGAGTTCTCCCCTTGCTCCCTTTTGAAGCAATCAGCTTGCCGGTCAAAATAGGCTTATACCAAATTTAGCCACATCACAGACACGGATCTGGGAGTGCAGGAAAAGCTCCACTGGCAGTCCCTGGCACTTAGGCCCAGCAAGTCTGCTGTGTAAGGGTCACTGCCTGGTTTTCAGCTCCTGTTCGTGGCTGCAGTTTGTTCTCTTCTTCGTTGTGGCAGCCAGCAGCGATTGCTCTTTCATAGTTCACTATGTAACTGTACTGTAAATCCCAGCTGTATGTGGTGCTTTAAATTATTCTTACGGTTAATGCTTTGCTCCCTGCACACTTAATCTAACCTGTTGGACCGTTGCAGTGTGTTGATGTATTACATGAGAAAATCTTGATGTGCGTTGTCTTGTAGGTTTGTCTTGTGGAGTATTGATAATCTGCATGTAATGCTTTGTGTATTCTCTGATTTGGGATGAGAAAATATTTGCAAAATCTGGGTATTACTGTTAAATTATACTCGCAGGTGGAAGTATTTCATTTGTATAAGGCTTGTCATTCTATATTTGTAATTCTTAGATTGCAAGAAGACCCTCCTGTGGGTGTCAGTGGTGCACCGTCTGAGAATAATATAATGCAATGGAATGCAGTTATATTTGGGTAAGAGTTTTTGATCACTATAAAATTCTATATCAAAGGGCTAAATATAACAAAACCTGGGTTTTGTTTTTACAGTTATTCTCTTCTTTTATGTACGTAAACTCAGGAAACTTAGAAAAAAGACCAAGTGTGCTGTTGCGGTAAAATTCTGTTTTCAGGGGTAATACACAATGTATAGGAAAGGAAAATGTAAAATTTGTTCAGCTCTTCTGTTGAATAAAGCTTGCATATGGCTTAATAAATAGGTTAGGCTGTGTAGGAGTTGGGTTATGAAAAAGCAGGCTTCCCGTTTAAAGTGCATAAGAGCCACGTGTTCTCGGCCATTAAATCCAGATGTATTAGGAGTGATTGGATTGATTCCCAGTAGAACGAGGTACAGGTTCTGTCTAGGAAGTTACATTACATATCCTACAGAACAGGAACTGGCTTAGTATCCTTTCATAACACAGAAGTATGCTTGCTAGTAACTTGCTCATTAATTCCAATCTAGTCACGTAATGGCATATCTACTTTATCATCATCCCAAACAATACATATCTTGACTAGCAGATTGACTATGGGAAAGTGTCTCAGATACGACAAAGCTCCTGGAGGTTGCCTCTGGATACTTCTCTAAATATTTAAATTATTGCCTCTACCTATATCTTGTGGAGGATGAGGAAGAAATAAATTTATTGTGCCTGTTTAGAAGTAGGTAGTGATCATTTTTAACTGGAGTTTATTTTTAAAACCTTTCAGGCCGGAAGGGACACCTTTTGAAGATGGTAAGCCACTAACTTTTACATCCTCTGTCATTCTTATAAATATTACCAGTATTAACATTGTTCTGCTTTGAAAAAAATAATAGATGTTATCTGTGTATAATTTGGAAGAAACTAAGCAAGCAAATGAAGGAGTAAGGTCTTGTTGGCTATAAAAATATGTATTTTGATGTAAGCAAAGTGTCTTGTCATAGTGGTTGATGGTTAGTTAGAAAGCTACGAAGCAGCGCTTATATCAAGACTTGTTTATACATGTACGCTAGGGCTTTTAGTGGGGGAAGTTGGTCTAATGCTGCCAGATGTGTTTCCACATCTCCATAGCTAAGCTCAACAAGACAGGGTGCTCTTCTGGTTCCATCTTTGTGGCATGTTTGATTCATCTCTGTTCTCCTAATGAAGAACAGGTGAAAATCTTGGATTGTTCCGAATATAGAACTCGGTGAGGGGGAGGGAATACTGAATTTGTACATAAACATGAAAGTTGGTGTGTAATGAACCTCCCTTAGGCATGTGAGGAATAATGAGTTTAATAATTATAGTATTATTGCAATAATCGGCAGCAGATGGGTTTTCCTCTGTGTTGGGTTGGAGGCGTTACAGTAAATTATTCACTGATCCATAATAAAGGTTTTCAGTGAATCAGTCACGAGCTCCAAAGACTGAGATTGCTGATTATGAAATTCCAGTGTTTCTTTGCTGGCACCACAGTGCCGCCTTAATGAAACGCCTTAAAATCACCGAAGCCCATGGAACCGGCATGTTGGGTCACAGAAAAAGGGGAGGGCAGTGGGATAACTGATGTTGGATCTAGCTGCCTTTGCCTAGTATACAGTGAGTCTCCAAGCTTCTACCTAGCTGCTGCTGCTGCTTTTATGACTATCACTAAGTAGCAGTTACATAGTTCCATTATCACTTGAAACATAGGAAAAGAAACCAGGCTCAGTGTTGTTTGTTTGTATAATGGTGAGAAGAAATATTGATCGTGAAGCACATAAATTAACTTACGTTGTCTATGTTCTTGGAGGTGTTCTTTTGTTGTTAGTTATCTGATGGTATTTATGTTTGTTTGGACAGGTACTTTTAAACTAGTAATAGAATTTTCAGAAGAATATCCAAATAAGCCTCCAACTGTAAGGTTTTTATCAAAAATGTTCCATCCAAATGGTGAGTAAATCATTTTTATTTAGCCATAATACCCATTAAATATTACGGTGTGGTCATGTATTCTGCGAAGCTCCAGAATGCTTAACAGCTCTCCATCTCTCTTCATTGCCATCTCCTAAGTAGATGTCTAGGACAGCAAACTGCTTGATGAAAAATTAAGAATGATGATGCTATTAAGAAGCAGCTATCTGTCTCTAATCAATATATAGCCTCAGTAGCAAAGCCTATGAGCATTTTCAGCAGCAGCTGCACTTAGGTCGGCTTAAACAGGTAATTCTGGTTGAGGATTCCTGCCCCCTTCCCTTTCACAGCAATCGTGTATGTGCAGCCACATCGTGAATTGGAGTAGGGAACTGATCGAGCCGAGTGTTACTTGCCTCTGTCAGGTGGGATTCCAGCCCAGTCCGTGCCTTCGTTTGGCTCGCTGTGCCAACCAGCACTAGTGCAAGGAAGAAGGTGAGAACGCAGAGTCATAGGGGAGCGCAGAGGAGGAGGAGGCGGCTGGCCCTAACTCAGTGATGAGGGCAGCATTATGAGAGAGTGCCATGGTTCCTGCTCCAGCACCTGATAGGTTTTATCCAGTTACTCCTGCATGCAGAAAACACAAACCGTGCCTTTTGCTTTTCCAAGCCCCTCTGTAGCAAAGGGGGGTATGGATTCGATTTGAGGGCTGAAGCATAAGCCCATTACAGCGCTCCTTGTAGCTTGAGCCCTCCTTGAACGGGGGTGACCTTGGCTTCAGTTCTGTGACTTTTTAGACAGTGCTGTCTAACCATTCCTCTGTCAGGGAATACGCAGGCCAGTATGCCTCTGACAGGGTTTTTGTAATTTGTTGCTTTTCATTGGGATGGAGGAGCTGGAAGGTTAGGGTGTGGGAGTTTGGCCACCCTCAGTTTCATACAGACTCTTGTATTAAGACTACTGATAGCTACCCAGACAGAAGGAGGATTTTGGGCACGCTTTTCAGTATTTTCTATTGTCTGCCTTAGTGTCTCTCATAGTGAGCATAGAGTGTGTGAAAACGGGGCAAGAACTCCCTCCGTTGATGCGCGAGTCCGTTCAGACTGTGAGGTGCTTGGCCGGTGCAGTGGATTCCAGCCCTGCAGTACGTGTCTCGCTGCTCTCTGGGAGGCCTCACCTCCGTGTGTATCTGGGCCAGTCACACAAGAGGAGCAAACCAAGTCTACCAATTCCTGTGCTAATGCCATAACCTTTAGACCTTCCTCCTTCTCCTCTTAGGTGTTCTGTTACTTCCAGCAATATATCTCCTTCAAAATACAAGATGTCAAACTACAGAAAGTTGTGAGACATAACTTCTGTCCTCTTTCCTACAGCATTAATTTAAGCACAGTCTGAATTGGAACGGTAACTCTGCCTTGAACGGTATGTAATGAACAAACTAGAAAATAAATCTGATAGTTTCTAAATGAATTCTGTGTTGTATTTACAGTTTATGCGGATGGTAGCATATGTTTAGATATTCTTCAGAATCGCTGGAGTCCAACATACGATGTTTCATCTATTTTAACTTCAATTCAGGTAACTTTACATCTATTTCTGCAAATAATTCTGTTGTTGTTCGTCTCCGTTCACGAATACACAGCTCAGTGATGTGGCTAGCAGGTATCTGCATCAAGGGGGACTTGAAATACTTGTGAGCTAAGCAGTAGCTTTTTAGATCAAACAAAGGCTAAGGTGCTGACCTATGTAATTATCGCTTTTGAGCTACAAAACTGCCATTAGATTTTTTTTTTTTACGGGAAAACAGTGACTGATCTGGATTCCTTTTTAACTGTTTTTAGTCAAGATAGAACATCACATGTAGGGATTTGCCTGGTGTTTGAAACACTAAGCTTTATCGTGAAGCCTTGCCCTATGAAGTCCTCAAGGAGTCAGTACTGCTGACACTGACTTTACTCGGAATAAGTAAAAACGGCCTGGCACAGCAAAAACGTACACTTTCTTTTCTCCTGTGTGATTGTTTTTATTTCTCTACAGCGAAGTTTTGTAGGAGGCACCTTAAGCCCCGCTTTAGTCCTGAATGACAATAGTGGTGTAATTACCAAATAATCAATTAGCATCATACCGCTAACTGGCACAGACGACCACGTACCTGCTAGGTTTGTGAACCCAGAAGTGTACACAGTGCTAACGCTTATGCGATGTAGAATTTGAGGTTCAGCCGTGTAATTACGGGTGCCTAACCATGAGTTTCACTTTTTTTTTTCCAA